GGGGGGGGGGGGCCCCCCCCCCCCCCCACTATTCGGGCCGCCACATTGCACTCGGGTGGCTGTCAAAATTATGGGGACCCTAATTTTGACAACCACCCACTCGTACTTCTCATGTGCTCCGTTCGGAATGCAAATCCCGCCTCCGGTGCCCTTCCCTTGGAGAAGATGCTGTCCGACGGCGGCGGATAGGACTCGAAGGGCTCGTCCGGCCTGACGACCACCTCTGCAGGTTCTGGGCTTAGGGTTTAGGGTTTGGGACGAATACGCTTTCTACTGCAGGGTGCTAGAGTGTCCTTGCTGGGTTCAGTTGATGTGACTCTGCAGGGCTGTGTCTGTGTGAGCCGGTTGCATCCCGAAACCCTAAACCCTAAACCCTAAACCCTCCCTCTGTTTACTCTGCCCGGCCTCCACGATCTCCATCTGTTCGCAAGACCGCGCAACACTGCGCAGGATACTGGGCCCTTGAGCACAGCTGACACGATCACCAGCTATAAGTTGGGATGCTTTCCTGTCTGTCTCGTAGCCCTCGGCCGTCACCTGAGTCCCTACCGAAACACGAAGTAGGTCTGGGAGCACCAACCCCAAACCCCAACCCCCAAACCCTGAGCCAGAAGGGACCATTGAGAAACCTAGCGTCGACCATCACTCGATGAGACTCCGTGACGGTGAGGCTGGCAGCTTCGGTCCTGAGGGTGACCAAACTATGCCAAGCCGTCGGGTGCCGCTGAACTTGTTGAACAGTCAGGAGTCTGCCGCTCTTTCCGATCAGAACATCCCGTTTGTGAAGATCTTCGACGCGAAGGAGCGCATCCGGAGTAGGCACGAGAGTGCCGACCACGAAGCAGCGATCACCACCGCGGACTGGGCAACTGATGAGGGAAGAGTGGGAGGCATGGCTCGCCTCGGAGACCGAGGCTTCGTATCCAGCGCCGGCACGATTCCACCGAGTGCTCCTGCCCTCCCTCTGCCTTGCCGACTCTCTGGGCTCCTGTTATTCGGGTTGAGGGTCTATAGGGTTCGGGGCTTAAGGTGTGTTGGGTTTCGGGCTTGGGGCTTATAGAGTTTAGAGCTTAGGGCCTACAGGGTTTAGGGTTGAGGCGACGTATCATCCAGGCTGGTCTTGCCCGCTGGTAGTAAGAGGAAAGGCCTGGAAAAAGTGGATGGGAATTTTGCATGTCGCCATCTTACTCTTTTCCCTAAACCCGCCCTAAACCCTGAGCCCTTGTTCAACTCTAGTATGTCTCTGTTCGCTAAACCCTAAACCCTAACTATTGAGATCATTACCATCTTCATCCCGGGCCTAAGGGTCCATGTACCCATACTGGGTTTAGGGTTTAGGGGTTTAGTGGTTTAGGGTTTAGGGTTTAGGGTTTAGAGTTGGGCCCTATAGCAAACTCCAAAAGTTGGAAACCGGGATTACTGACAAATGGTATACATCACTCATGAGGATAGAGGCTATTAAACTAGAGTTCCCAGATAGGGACTACCTGAAGGCCAAAAGACTACTATATGGGTAGTTCTCTAAATTAGGATTCCTTTTTAGGTCCCCATTGCAGTGCGGCATCTTTATAAACAGGACCCAACCGGGAACCTAATTTAGAGAACTACCCTTCTGAGTACTTGGACCCTCAGGGCATGCTCTTACACTCCCAGCTACTAGCCTAAACCCTAAACCCTAAACCCTACTTCGGAGCTTCTGCAGAGCGTGACTCCTGCGGCTGCACCTCGTCCATGTCAGGGCTGCCCTGGTTGTAAGACTTGCGGAAGATGCATCCACCTGAGGGTGCGAGGTTGGTAGTTCTGGGGGGATGATCGATGAGGGTTTGATGCTGTCTAAATTTAGGGGTGAGGTTGGCGAAGACCTAAACCCCTAAACCCTAAACCCTAAACCCTAAACCCTGATGTGGGCTGTTGCAAAATTCGGGCTTCTGTTGTTTAAGCAACCCCGACCTGGCTGTATGGCCTCCATGAGTCTCCTTCGCTGAACTGTGTTGAGCCCAACATCCTCCAAGTCCTTCTCCTTCGCATACCGACACAAAAGCTCCAGTGAGGTGAATCCGTGGCGCTTTTCATCCAGCAGACCCTCAATGCTGCGCACAGGCACCCCGAGCATGGTCAGAGATCGCCGAAGCTCCTCCTTGCCTGCTGCCGGTGCCGAGCTGGAGTCCCGTGCTGGGTCCGATGGCATATCACTACCGCTCCTCAAGCTCCTTTCCAAGATTCGCTCAAGGCTTGTCTTGGCTTGCTTTCGGAAGTCCTCCCAGTAACGGAACTGCCGTGCTAGGTTGTTCGTTGGATTTAACGGATCAAGAACACGGGGACCGCTTCCCCAGTTAATGTCCGGGTGGTCGAAGTACCTCTGCCACTGCCACATGATCGGGTCCATCGCGGGCTCCTTACTGCAAAACCGGAGGAACTGCACAAAGAAGTCCCAGCCAGTGCAAGATGCTGTGCGACTTGACCGGCAGACGTGTTGGACAATCGTTTCGATTAAGAATCCACGTGGACGCAAGAGCGCATTCCACAGAGGGAAGCCGACTTTGCATACCCATAGCTTGGCCAACTTAATGGCGGTCAACACGGCAGCATCGGCGCTCTGGTTTTTAGCATGCCAGACACTGAACTGTGCAGACCATTGCTGGCGGGCACTAAACTCCTCATCCAAGATCGCGCTCTCCATAGCGGATTCTCGCAGAATCCATCGGGCTCCCGTAAGGATGTCGACATGCACGCCATCGCAAACCTCAAAATCTAGCGGGCACAATGCTTCTGTGCTAAACTCGACAAGCCTTCATTCGAAGCACATGGAACCTTTGACCGTGAACGAACTCAGATCACTGCTGGACAAGGAGCCACATGGATGTATTCAGACTTTCTTTTTGACATATTCATCTGCCGGGGAAGTCTGGTATTCATCTCATCCTCGTCCTCATCATCTTGGCGGAAAAATACAGCCTGTCCGCAATTAGGCGTAGTTTTCCGAGACTGAAAGAAGGCAGGGCTGTCCATCCAGTCGTAGACCCGAATCTTCACCTTTGTCGAATAATGTTGTCCAGTGGACTTTGCCCAATGATTGAGGCACCACAATCTGCGGTTGTTCAAGCAATACAGCATGTTTTCGTATTCAACAACATCCAACTCAAGGTCCGGATGAGTCATTGGATCTGCAATGCCTTCAAACAAGTCCTCGACCAGTTGATGCAAGGACCTTCCGTCCTGAAATTTCCGGCTAATTGTGTCTGAAGCATAACGCAGCTCCCTGATGTTCACCGTCTCATAAAACTTGGGCTGCGGGGATGGGTTCGGCCACTTGGTGGCCATATGCTTGGCTGGCGTAGTTCTGACCCAGACCTCGCCTGTGGACCACTCGAGCTTCTTCTTGTCCATAAGTCTAAAGAATTTCAACTCCGGGAACAAACCGATAAAGAAATGGGAGCCTTCCTGTTGAATCTTGCTTTTGCCCCCGGTGCTCCAGATCAATGTATCACCTGGACCAAGATGCAAAATGACGCATACAAGCCTCACACAGTTAGCTTCGTGCATAGTGGTGGGAGCATGACTACGACCTCTATGCCAGGCACGGTGCTCATCACGTCCCGGAAAAAATCAGGGCCTAAGTAGCACAATCTATACCTAGAAGTATCGGAAGATGAAGTGAGGGCCTGCCTGAAATATTGTGCATTTTGCCACGATGGAGCCAATGACCCTCAAGGTCGTGATACTGATACCGTGCCAGATCATCCCAATCGTCTTCGTAATCGTCGAAATAATCATCTCTCCTGCATGCTGTGTGATCAAAGTTAGGCCGCTTGGGTACCCTGTGCTGCTCACTCATGGTTCTGTTGTCACGATGAATCATGAACACTGCAGCAGCAGGTGGTGTGGGGGGGTGTCTTGAAAACGCTGACCCTGCCGAGATAGAAAGCTCATCAGCTTTGGAGCCCTTAGTTGCTGAGTTCATAAGCACAAAAAAGTGTACACTTTCAGTTCTAAAAGAGCTCATACTATCCCAGAAGTAGCTACTAATGCTTTTTAGTAATCAGTAGGATGCCTTTTTTGGGTCGTGGAGCCCTACTAGGCAACTGAAGCCGTGTCGCATGTTGGATCCCGACCGAGGGAGCCCGCCTCATTCGGAGGCTCTTTGAAGTCGAGTTTAGGGTTTAGGGTTTAGGGCATTAGGGTTTAGGGTGGGTTTTAGGGTTTTACGTACACCTCAAGACTGCTCACTCCTCGCCACAGAAACACTACCCGTGTTGAAGGAACAACTTCTGACAGCAGAAGCTGCAGGCGTGCCAAAATTAGGTTTTGACATGAGATCAGTATCATGGTTCTTCAGAGTGCTGACTATTCTTAGGAGCCACGGTTTCGGGTCAAGGCTTCAGACATGCTTCCAGGTGCAAGAGTTGGGTGCTGTTCCTACCAGCAATGCAGGGACTCTCGCTTTGGAACTCCATGGACACGAACTGACACTCCCTCCCCCCATTCTTGCTAAGAAATTTCATTTAAGTTACCATTATGGGGATTTCTATTGTCAATACTATGGCCCTAAACCCTAAACCCTAAACAATACAGTTTCTTTACTATGGTAACTTAAATTCAATCCCTTAACAAGAACCCAGGCACTGACACTCCCTCCCGGTCCCCGCACTCACACTTCAGCCCTGTACCCTGAAAGCACCACCACGCCGTAACTCAGAAGTCTGAAGTTCCAAGGCCGTATTTCGATTTAGGGTTTAGGGTTTGGGGTTTAGGGTTTAGGGTGGTTTAGGGTTTAGGGTTTGGGGTTTAGGGTTTAGGGTTTGGGGGTTCAGGGTTTGGGGCTGAGATAACCACACTGTTTGTTGTTGTCGCTCTCGGTCTCAGGGATGTTGCTCCTATTATAGCTGAAGAAGATGCGACACGGCGAACTACACAGACTCGTCTTACAATCATCCTAGCTCGACAGAGGATTCCTGTTTCCGAACGACTACTACTCCGAGAACGCAGGATCTGAATAAAAGAACACCTGACAAACGTCGTATCTTAACCCATAGAATAGCAGGATACTGTTTTAAAGCTCTACTTATTACATCCTGGGGTTCGGAGATGGAGAACTAAACCCCTAAACCCTAAACCGCAAGACCCTATCAGTCGAATCTGCAGATAGCCAACCTCCCCTGAAATCTGGCGTGAGGTTCGGGTTTAGGCTTTAGGGTTACAGGGCTTTAGGGCGGCAGCTGTTTTGAGGTTCTCTAGGTTGCCTAGGGACAGCTAGATAATAGTGGCGCTCTTTCCCTGCAGTCCCATGAAATTCGAAGCACCCCCGCCCGTATACCCCATGCCCAAGACCGTTCTTCCAATTCCTGTGGAGTCGTTGACAGGGCACAGAGGCTCAGGATCGTCATAAGCTCGCAGTACCTTGCTTGAAGGGCTTTCGGGTTTGGGGCTAAGAGTTTCGGTTTCAGAGTTTTGAAAGGTCATGGTCTGCCATGCGCAGTGCTCTTATAGCTTTCCTCCAAGACGGACTCTCAGGGATTTATGTGGCTTCTTTTTATTCGTGCGTCGGTAATCAGTAAGGTCTCGAGTAATACCCGTGAAACTACACTCCCCCTTGATAACCACAGCTAAACTGCTCAACCTTAAACCCTGGACCCTAAACCCTAAACACCCTAAACCCTAAGCCCTAAGCCAGTTAAACTCAAGGCTTTACAGACTCCCCGATAGAAACTCCAAAAGCAGCACGCGCACAGGCATCGGCTGCGGGGGCGCAGGGTCTTTCGCTTTCGGAATGCTGGATTACATGCTGGCTATAGGGTGTGAGCTGAAGGATAAACCCGAAACCCTAAACCCAAAACCCTAAACCCTAAACCCTAAACCCTAACTAAATCTTCGGATTCAGGGTTCCTAAGTGTACTGTTGAAGCTTTTGAAGATTGTTGCGGTTTGGGCAGTAACTGTGAAGGAGGATGCCTTCATTTTAATCCTGCTTTGTCTTCGAAGCTTCTAAGTTGCTTTCAACCCTGATGCAAACTCTACGCGCGCAAACCCCTGGGAGGATCGAACAAGTAGATTTCTCAAGTGTTGTCCTGTATAGTACGCTGTATAGGGTCCGCGATCAGGTTCGGCTTTCTATATCCTCCCTGGGTCTGGGAAATATAGGGGCCTGAATAATTAGAATAAGGTTTTGGGGCCCATGATATTTCTGAATATACACAGGAACCCCCATAATAGTATACCCTAAACCCTAAACCCTAAACCATAATAGTATAGGCAATTATATTAGGCTCCTACCCTGGACCCCCAACCGTAACTAAGCCCTACACCCTTAACCATGAGCCCCAAACCCTAGACCCCTGGGTCTGGGACTTACTGTACATCCTTGCTTAGTACCCCAACAAAACACATAAGCAAAAAATAAGAATAAGGATATCCCATATAAACCCCCTTATAATGAAGCCCAATAAGGTAGGGACATCCCTATAAACTGCTTATGCTTATGTCCTTTTTGGGTTCCTAATTGCTGACCCCTGTTATCTCCTGTTCGCTGCAGGTATTTGCGTGTGCGGTCCTTGTGCTCGAAGCTTCCACGCCTCATGAACTATCAAGCCCTGCCTGGACCCTAAAGAACCTACCTCTTTAGGGTTCATTAATATGATTTCTTTATATAAGTCCTGAAAAATGTAGGGTATTCGGGGTTAAGGTGCCATTGCAAATGAAAGGCTCCAAACCCAGCAGCCCCAAATCTCTGAACCGTGTGGCGCTGAACACACACACACACACATGCACACACTTTTTGTATACATCCGAAACAGACAGGGCCCTTTACCCACGTGCTGAAGTCGGAATCCCTTGAAGAGAATACTTGACTCGATGCCTCTGTTCTTGACTCAGCAGCCACATAATTCTGTCCTGCAATGTCAAGCCTCCGCACGCTTTCGCAAACTGCAGAGAACGAACAAGTTTAAAGTTCAACTGCTGACTAAGCCACATAAAGTTGCCTGCGCTTTGCTACAACTTTAACCGACATAGCGCCAGTACTTGAAGTGGTAAAGTTACAAAATTTTGTTTAGGGTTTCGGCACCGATGATAGCTCTAAGCTCTTACTATGCCCCGTGATCCTTCGATTTGGCAGGCCTCAGAGGACGAAGACAGAAATCCTAAACCCCAAACCGTAAACCCTAAACCTTAAAACTTAAGCGTTAAACTTTAAAGCCCAAGGCCCAAACCCAACCCTTAAAACCGAAACCCTAAACCCTAAACCCCACACCTTAAATATAAACCCCAAGCCGGAAACCCTCCATCTTGAACCCTGCCTAAGCCCCAAACCCTAAAACCTAAAGCATCTGTCCCCTATTTTCCTGAGTTACCTCTTAATAATAAGGGTAACCTTTTTTTGTTATCTTACTTCCCCAATAAGCCAGGGAAATAAAAGGTTAAAGTTTCAGATTACGACTAAATTATAAGAGCCCAACCAGTTTTGAGGTTGGGTATTGGAGAACTACGTTCTTCAGTCTTTAAATATAAGGAAACCCTAAACCCTAAATCCAAACCCTAAACGGGCCTAAACCCCAAACCCTATAAACCCTAAGCCGAACCCTACAATAAACAAAAAGAACCTAGACCCAGTGACTGGCCATGGAGGTCTCCGACCACATGCAGTGCGGAGTCCGAAGGCACCTTGCAGCAGGAGAAGTCAAGGGACTAAAGGAGGGAGACCCTTAAAGGGGTTTAGGGTTTAGGGTTTAGGGTTTAGGTGGGACCCTTAGGGTTTAGGGGTTTAAGGGTTTAAAGTTTAGGCCTCTGTTCAAGGGACTAAAGGAGGGGGACCCTTAAAGGGACCCTTGGAGTTATATAGGGGCTTTATGAGACTATATAAGGTGTCTATAGGGGTTATATAGGGTATTAGGATTAGGGATCCCTTCTAGAAAAGCCACGCCCGGGGCTTTTTTGGGGAATCTTCGGGTTTAAGGTTTAGGGTTTGGGGTTTAGGGTTTATGGTTTGGGGTTTAGGGGTCAGGGGGTAGGGCTTACGGTTTGGGGGTTAAGGGGTTATTTGTTTAGGGTTAGGGTTTAGGGTTTAGGAGGAATCTTCAACCACTGAAGCTCTAAAATCCCAAAGCTCCTGATGCCCTTATGAAAAATCGATTTGACCCTTACAACACCCCGTGCCCGAAATCTTTTCCCTAAGCCCTAAACCCTAAACTGGGGGGTTTTTGTGCAGATGCCTGGATCTCCACCAGTGTCGGCAGCCGCTGGAAGTGCTCTCGCGCGGCAGCCAAGAGATCAAGAACGTCTGCCTTCAAAGAAGATTGTTAGGAAGTATTCTTAGGGGTTTAGGATTTA